AGACAGTGATTAAAAGCGTACTCTTCTGTACTCAGACACCATAAAGAATGTCATTTAGTTTGGCTTTGAAGTTAAATCATCTTCATTTGTAACATTTGTCTCGACAAACAAATAAGTCTCTTTAGGCCACACAACTTACTTGTACACCATCATGAACACCAAGCCAACATCGTGTAGTAGAAGGCAACCGACTCATCAGAAAATTGTTTTCCAGTTCATCGTGCACAGATGCGAGATTTCCATGCCGATCTATACAGTTTCTCTAAAGACACATTTAAAAAAAAAAAATTAAATAACAGGCTTTACCAAAAAAAAAAGTCAATTACATATTTAGTCATTTTCAAACAAAATCTGCTCTGATTAGTTGCTCAGTATAGTTCTCTAAAAAGAAATTAAAGGAAGTTTCTTTAAAAATAATACATTTGCCTTGTTCTAACGAACACTTTACCTCTGCTGTGATCCAGTCAGCCGACTGAGAGAAGAACTTGTAGCATCGGACTCCAAAATTTGTCCATCCATAGTGGCATTGTTTATCTAGAACAACTGTATCCAGTAGGCCTTCATATGTTAGTCTTGTAATATTCACATTACTCGTATTATGCAAGCTCTAGTCAACAAAATACTGTATATTTCTGAATGCCAAAGTTTTCGCAAAACAATCTTTTAAAGTTGAATAATGAGGGTTTACACAAATAAATGTCTTGTTTACCATCTGCATTTCCCATGGAGAACAAGATGAACAGAACCAGCAGACTTCTCAGCATCGCCATGAACTTGAAAAATAAGAAGCAGCAAAAGTGAATTGTCTGCACTCACATACTGCGCACGTTGTATTCTCAATGTGTTTTAAACACCAAGTTATTCAGTAGGTCTCTGTGCCAAAAACTCACCTTGGTTTTCAGACCGTTGCCGTCAGAATCTCAGAGGAAGATTTTGTGGAGTTCCAGAAAGAGCCCTGCTTTTATGCTTTACTTGATATCAAGTGTGTATAAGTCACCAGGACAACACTGTTACATGTCTGTGGTTTTCTTGCTCCTTTGACCTAGTTTTCATTAGTTGCCCTGATTGTGTCATTCAGTTCACCTGTGTTCGATTTATCAAATCATTAGTCCCTCGTTTGCGTTAATAGGCTTGTTTGAGATGCGCCTCGTCTCGCCTGAAACGAAGACAAGAGTAGGCGGCTGCAGTGAGGGGAGGAGTGAAATAAGCGCAG